GAAGGCCAGTGGTAGATGGGGTGCGGGCAATTCCGGAGCTAGATCGGTAAGGGTTCGTAAGAGGTGAGGGAGGTGGAGTGTCAGGATGGACGTTGGTCAAGGTTCTAACCACGATGTTGAAAGGTTCAACAATTTGTCGGAATTGGAAGGGAGAGTGTCCATCGTCAACTTCTGGATTGGTTTCTGATATATTGAAGCCGGTCTGCCGGGCAATTACATACATGTGTTTGCATGAAGACTTGTTTTGAGGAAGTGAGTACAGTTGCAATTGTTGACGTAGCCAACTTTTCCGTCTTTAGGGGGTGTGGTATTGACTTGGTATGTGGCCAGCATGGGCCTTGTAAAACTACTGATGGTTCACTGTTCACAGGGGCAAAAATTGATGCTCACAACTATGTGAGCGTTGAAATTTTCCTGTTTTGTTCCCATTTGTTTCCCATTTGTTTCCAATTTGTTTCCCATTTGTTTCCCATTTGTTTCCCTTTTCTTTCTGTTTGTCAGCTGATTACGTGATCATCAGGAACTGAGCAGACAAACTAAGCCTTCCTCAGCATTTATTCCTGAGCAAAGAAGTCTGAGGAAGGGCTGATCCTGAGCGGCATTCCCTGGTTCAGTAAGCTCCAAGGGATGCCACCAATGTATAGCTTAGGGGCTGAGCTTAACTGAGTATTCCCTTAGCTAAGTCTCTGAAGTATCCCCCAGATGGATCACAGAGCGCCAAGCTTGCCTCAAGCTTCATGGCTCCGGAATGAAGCCTGAGGCCCGTCTGCTCGTTCAACTGAGCTGCTCAGTTATTCCTCAGGGGCATCCCTGAGATCAGGAGGATCCGGAGGATTTCACTGCTCATTGGATGAGGGGCTGCTCAGTTATTCCTCAGGGGCATCCCTGAGATCAGGAGGATCCGGAGGATTTCACTGCTCATTGGATGCGGGGCTGCTCAGTTATTCCTCAGGGGCATCCCTGAGATCAGGGGGATCCGGAGGATTTCACTGCTCATTGGATGAGGGCCTGCTCAGCTAGTCCTCAGGGGCATTCCTGGCCGGATCAGAAGGATCCAAAGGATGTCACTGAGTATTGGCTGAGGGGCTGCTCAGTTGATCTCAGCCCCTCAGTGTGAAAAACTTTATCCGGGGATATCACTGAGGATTAGCTGAGCAATGAGCAGATGGGATGACGCTTTTATCAGGCTTCATTCCTTAGCAAGGAAGTCTGAGAAAAGTCCGGCCCATCAGTGATCCAGTCAGGGGATGCTACTGAGTATTTGCTGAGCAGCTCAAATGGGATGCCCCTGGGCAGGCTTCTTCACTGAAAAATGAAGCCTCAGGAAGGTATATTTCATGTGCTCATCTTCATTTTGAACAAATTGCTGAGTATTCAGTGCCTCATGAGCTGATCCTGAGTACTCATCGGGAATCAGTTATTGCTCATCCAAGATGGAAATGAGCCTTCTCAATAAATGTCAAGTAAAATATGAGAACCACAGGATGATCACCTGAACACAAACAAGATTGTGAATTGAATCAATCTGAAAGAAAATGAATCTTTTTTGGAGAATTCCAAAAAGTCTACAACGCTCACATGTATGTGAGTATCTATTTTGGCCCCTGTGGTTTGAGGTGGACGAGTCAGTAATGTTTTTTGACTGAGGATGAAGTAACTCCAAGAGATAGCTTACCTTGTTGTCTTTGTAGGGTTTGATTGTGACACCAAGATCCACGAGGTCACTGTCACTGTACGTTTCCAACAAGCCTTTGGCTATGTTTTGGTACTTTGTGGCGCGCTGAGGGCGAAAGCCAAGGGTGGTGGTGAAAACACTTTGTTGAAAATTGGGCTCTGCTTTGTCAGCTAAAGTTTGGAGCAGATCATTGGGTCGCCGGAGTGTATCACAACTAAGAAAATTGTATTTTAAAACACAGTGATAACTTTTGGTGAAGTTATTTGTGTGTATGCCTTGCATAGGTACGTCCCTCTTGGACATCATGCAGTGAGAGTAGTTGCCTACCCATTGAAACTCGAAGTATCGGAGGAATCCAGGGTTGATGGTTTGATTGTCGTGGCGGAATTTGATAATAGCGTCCTGCCATTGTTTTGCATAGATCACCGCCATGGCAGCTGAATGGTATTGCTTTACAAACTTTGTGCCTCCCTGTGTGAATGAAATGTTAGCCTATGAGGCCAAGGGGGACTGGAAAATGGACTAACGTATGTTTTTGCCTTGAGCTTGATAGCACGGGAGACATGAAAAATACACCAATAATGTTGTGGTTTGAATGTGCATGTAGCATAGGTGTTGGTGACCGCTTTAGCGTAGGCTGGCGCGCAGTCGGTCATGAAGGCTTTTGGTAATAACTGGAATTGGTCCTTCATCCATCGCAAGAGGCTGCCAACGGTCTCGCTGAAGGAAAATAGTCAGGTGACGGCCCACTAAACAAAGGAGAATAGGTTGCTTACGCCTTCTCATCGGTAGTCAAAAAGCAGGCAACCGGTAGCCCACTGCCAGTGACCGGATGACGGAGGACTATTGTAAGTAGAGTGAAGCTGGTCAACGGCCACTCGGGTACACTGGAACAAACACTGTGCGTTGAGTCAAAGCATAGAACATTGTCTCCGTGGCGGCGGATTTGTTCTCTTTGCCATGGAGACAGGAACGCAACGGATGTGTGTTGTGATGTAGCATCAAATGTGTTATTGACAAACCATCCTTGTTCTCGCAAGCGGTCACACCACAAATTCATTGAAGTTATAACATCAGAACTCAGATACTTGGTCTTCACTTCGAGTCGGCAAATTGTGTTGTTAAACCTTGTGCGGTCAATGTTCAGGGCCTCAGGAACGATACCTAGAGCCGCATTCTCATCCTTGGGTGGGTGTCAGTGTTGAGATTTGGAAAAGATGCTTGGTTGGGTCCACTTACAGGGAAGAGATCCGGGCATGATAGCAATCTTGAGATGGATCGCCATGTTAAGCCTGAAATGACACGTTTGTTCAACCAAGTAGCAACAACATCTGGCAAGCGCATGTTGCGCATGTCTTCAAGTGAATACGGATTGTGACGCTTGTGTTCCCAATACCACTCGAACTTGAGGTCACCTGTGATGGTCTTTTGAATATAGAATTTCGCAGGACATTGGACACGGACAGAGCCACTGGAACATCGTGTAGCTTTGGTAAGAGTGGGCTTGATGCGGGTAGAGGGTTTGCCTGAGCAGTTACATAGCCAGGTCTTTGTCCATTCGTGACGTCAAGTAGGACCACGGGGAAGGCGAGGAACATCGGTCTCAAAGGCAAGCTGCTTGGTGGACTTCCTAGCTGCTCCATTGAATTGCTTTCCCTGATAGATCCATATCAAAGACGATGTCATAGCAAAAATTATGTTGTTTTCAATACTGGCCTTGCGGGGTAAGCTAAGGCGCACAACTTCGGTATCAAAGTGAGGGGGTTGGCGGGACGTGTCGCGAACAAAACAATTAGATATTGGATTGAAATCAAAACCAGCAGGGGGAGGAGCCAGATGCACAAGGGGAAAAAGAAGCCATTCGTGTATATTGGCAGGGAAATGGTAAGCATCCGCGCTCGTGATGAGAGGGGAACGGCGCGAGTCTACATCGGTGTCCTCAATGATTGTATACAAGCCGGGCCGTGACTTCGCCGTCTTGCCTGGTTTGTTTGGTCTCATTGCGGTGAAGTTCGTGATGACAAGAGAGAAGTTGCAGCTTTGAGCACAAATCTGGCACTCACAAGACACGACCAACCAATTGCCGCTGTCGTTGTCCCTCCCAAACAGTGATCCCTTGGTCCTCTGTCTGAGCTCAAATGAATGCTCCCGCCTCATTTGCTCTGCAATCCCCTCCCTCGTGTTTACAAGCCGCCGACAATCAGCGTCAGGACTCCAGATGAAGTCCCAATCAGTCCTCCGTCTGAGCTCCGCGTATTCATCACCACTGATTTCCTCTGGGACTTCCTTTTGGAATCAGAATCAGAACACCAAATGAAGTCCCAATATAGCAGACGAGCGGCCCACGCTCACTTCACAGCATCCTTTTCAAGTCGTCTCGCCTTGATCAACCCTCAGCCGTTGATCCCCGGCCTTCAACGCCCTTGTCCCAAAGAACATCGCCGCAAGGACTTCCAGGATCATCGTATCCGTCCATGCCACCCTTCCCGAAATGCCATGTCCTTTCGCGGACTTCCTGCAGGCCATGTGGCACGTGGCCTCGGATTAGCGGCACTTACTTGTTTCGTGACTTACAGGACGATCACTGAAGTGTTATTCACTTTTTGTCAGTGACCTCATTGTTCTTGACAGACAGTTCGTGGACTTCCACGGTCCAGCTCAATCGGTCATCTTTCCCACAGCGCTCGGCCAATCCCAATTTGGAATCTGTCAATAACCTTCTGGTGGAATAAATTCAGGTGATGCACTTACAGCCGTTAAAGGATTAAACGGCAGAATTCTTTGTCTGTGTGATGCACCCAAAGTAAAATCTGAGAGGCCAAAACTAGATTAAACCTGGTTTTGGACACAATTCAACAATGTCTTGTGGGAGACCTGTCACTTTTGATCGGATTTAACAAGTTTTATACTTGTGTATTAAATCTCGGTGCGACACAAATTTGTATTTTTATGCCTTTTATATATTTAGTAGCTGTAATATCCAGTTTGGGCTGTGCTGGCAAGTCTGGCTGAAGCTGAAATACAGTGTTCAGCTGTCATTTGTACACAGATGTATCATGTTTCCAGCTCCAGGCGCGCAGGGGATGCTCTCATCAATGCTTCATTGGCCAAAGATTGAGTCAAAGGTGTCACTATTCACGTTAGAATCGGTCTTCGTGTAGCAACCAAAAATTGAATTATGCATCCTGCACGTGTGAAAACATCAAGTTACACAACCCGGTGCCTCATGTCCGTAAGGTAAAACGTCAATAAATTGATGTTTTCACACCTCTACCTACCATTGGTGGCGATGCTCTCAGACTCGAGTGCCAGAAATTTCCTCGCCATGAGTGAACTTCATCAAGTTGTAAGTTGAGCTTGACAAGTAAAGTGCGGAAAGATGTGAGAGGTATGATGTATTGTTTACAAGAGAGTTGAACAAGCCGATTTTGCCCGCAAAACCATAGCAAATTGGCGAAGTTGTGACAAGTATTTCAATTCTGTTACTCATTTTTTGTGTTACGACCTGTGACAGTTTGTCCCGCACATATACTTAAATACATTTCATACTCCGGCTTGAGCTGGCTTGAGTGACAGAATAAGTATCCCTCCGAGTCCCGGTGAGCCAAATTCAACCTGGTTCAACGTTCAACGGGACTCGACAGGACTCGACTTGTTGGTGTACTTCCTCACCGATCTCCGAATAAGAGTTTGTCAGCACCGGTGGGAGATTCCCACCAATGTTGGGTGAGGATATTTGTACCTGCTTGTCGGGTGACGGCTTGGAACGCGCCGAGAAGAATGGAAACAACAGTCGTGGTCCGTGAAAGAGTGCGAGTAGTATGCCTCATCCCTCAAGGTGACGAAAGGATTGGCTATAAAAGCAGGACCTCAAGGCTCGTTTTTCATTCCTCCTCACTCCTCATCCAATCCACTCTTCAACACAAGTCTTACTATTAAAACCGTGCTAGCTTTACGACGCTTTACTATCAACTCTGATCATCAAAGTCTTCAATCAGTCTTTAACATACCTTCTCATCATGCATTTCACACTCCCACTCTAATTAGCTTTGTTGTGTGTATTCCAGGCTGTTGTGGCTTTACCTACCCAATCGTCTGGTCTTGATACTTCCGATATTTTGAGTCGTCGAGCAGGGACTGAGGAGGTCGTTGCGGGTGGAAACGTCAAGGAGAAATCTATTGAACAAAAGTGTTTCGGCAACATCAACAATATTTGGGGAGGCGGTCTACCATTCACTTACAATTACTATAACAGCCTTATGTATCAAAATGGGTTTTCCGGTCTTTGTAACTCTTACTTCGGGGGTGGTTACCAATGGGGTACCTGCGGTTCGTACTTGGGATGCCCAGGTGCCGTCAACACATTTTACAACTCCTACCTGGGTGGATTCAATGGTCTTCAGGGCTCTTCCTTATATACCTTGAATGACAAAGACTTGAAATCAGTAAGTCTTTCGATTCATTTTCTTTGGATTGGTCTTATGTTTTTCAAATCCTGACCTCTCCTCCTGCTGTCTACTTTGCATTTTAGGACAAGAATGCTGCTTGAGCGGTCGGATTGAGCTTCGAAATTGTTTTATGACTTTTCCTGAAATTTTATGATGGTTTTTCATCATTCATTCTTTATATTGTATTGCGTTCTTATGTTGACTTTATACTTTGACCTTATGCTCATGTCGCATTATAGAATTTATTGAACTCGAATGATTTTGATGTGATACGATACACGATTCTGTTTCTGCTTTCTGTTTTTTTCCTCTGTATTGCGCTGTTCTCCCTCGAAGTGTTTCTCACGTAAAAACATTCTTGTCCAACACGCCTGTAAGTTGGTGTCTAGCTCTTTGTGATTGGTAATTCATCGGCAAACATGCGCTTGTGGACTACAAAACCTTGACATCATCTCAAAGATGTGATCATGAGGTGCCTCTGTTTGACCCCTTGCACATTGTTTCCCAACGTCTTCGTTCTGGTGTGATTACCAAAATGTTCTAAAAATTAGACTTTAGAACATTTGTGAAAGACCAATCCTTTCCTTGCCGTGGCGTCCCAAAAATCCCTTTCTGGCTTTCGCGTTGATGAGATAAGTGAACAATCTCAAATACGTACACACTCACTTTAATTGTCACTACTCGGATGCTTTGACTGAGTATGTATCTCTAGAATAATTTTGACTACCTTATGAACAAGCTCTCGTTCACATGATGCATCAAGACAGGCTAGAACCACTTGAGATTGCCAATGGGACGGTCTCAAGAACTTCGGTTCTGAAAGCTCAATTATAGCCTTGAAGTAAAGTTTTTAGATTCGGACTAATGAGAAACAAGTCAAATGGATTTTGGAAAGGAATTTCAATCGAAAAATCGAAAAAACGATTTAATAGAAACCAAGATCTCACAAAATAGAACAATAGAAAGGTGCACAAGAGGAAGCAGGTTTCTCAAATTTTTGGATCCAATATGCAATTCTTTCACAATTTCAAACCAATATCCACCATTTTGTTTCCTTGTATCAAAGATTGGTAGAAGAACTCATCAAAGTGAAGGATTTGAGTTCCAGGTTTCCATTTGGTACACTCATTTCTATAGTCTAGAGAGTTCACCGAGTAACTTTGGTGCAGCACCCCCATATGCAAAGTGGGTGTTGTCTTTGTAATACCATAACAACTTCATGACTCTTGCCTTTCTGCACCTCCTGTAAAGGTATGTTTATTATCAATTCATATATACATTCATTCTGACTGGGGCCAGTGGTTAATTTGTCAGCTGGCATGTAAGACATGGATCACCTCAAGGACTACTATGATGGGAGACTCCAAAGATAAGGAAAAGCCCAAAGAATCTTGACATTCCACACAAGCCCATAGTTCTCAACTTATTGAGAAGCTGAGGGCACTTTTGAGATGCTCTCATACAGAGCTTCTCAAAAGTAGCTTATTAGAGCAATTGCTTTTTTGAAATTTTCATTTGAAGCATTCATTTAATTCAGAGAGATGAGCTTGACATGTAAAATACCCCAGCTTAAATGGCTCTTGTAATGTTTGATGAAACACCCTAAAAAGCTACTTTTGAGAAGCTATGGATGAGGTGATCTTGCAAGTACCCTTGGCTTCTCACCAACTTGAGAACTGCGGGCTTGTGTAGAACTCCAAGATTTTTTGGGCTTCTCTTTATCTTTGAAGTCTTCCACCATACCTCTCCTCTCCAACCTTACACTGTCAATGTATGCAACTGTTAGCCTTTTTTTCATCATTTCAAAGCTCACTGGTTCCAAATTTTGTTTTGAAAACTGTAATGAAAAATAAACAGCCAGTGCATGAAATGATGCAGTACTGCACAGGAACTCAGGAAAAGTACCTGTTCAGGTTTCCGTGATGATGTGGGTTTCAAGTGGTCATCCTTTGGCATGGTTGTATTATGAATCATCTTGATAGAGACTTGAAATCAGTAAGTCTTTCGATTCATTTTCTTTGGATTGGTCTTATGTTTCTCAAATCCTGACCTCTCCTCCTGCTGTCTACTTTCCATTTTAGGACAAGAATGCTGCTTGAGCGGTCGGATTGAGCTTCAAAATTGTTTTATGACTTTTCCTGAAATTTTATGATGGTTTGTCATCGTTCATTCTTTATATTGTATTGCGTTCTTATGTTGACTTTATACTTTGACCTTATGCTCATGTCGCATTGTAGAATTTATTGAACTCGAATGATTTTGATGTGATACGATACACGATTCTGTTTCTGCTTTCTGTTTTTTCCCTCTGTATTGCGCTGTTCTCCCTCGAAGTGTTTCTCACGTAAAAACATTCTTGTCCGACACGCCTGTAAGTTGGTGTCTAGCTCTTTGTGATTGGTAATTCATCGGCAAACATGCGCTTGTGGACTACAAAACCTTGACATCATCTCAAAGATGTGATCATGAGGTGCCTCTGTTTGACCCCTTGCACATCGTTTCCCAACATCTTCGTTCTGGTGTGATTACCAAAATGCTCTAAAAATTAGACTTTAGAACATTTGTGAAAGACCAATCCTTTCCTTGCCGTGGCGTCCCAAAAATCCCTTTCTGGCTTTCGCGTTGATGAGATAAGTGAACAATCTCAAATACGTACACACTCACTTTAATTGTCACTACTCGGATGCTTTGACTGAGTATGTATCTCTAGAATAATTTTGACTACCTTATGAACAAGCTCTCGTTCACATGATGCATCAAGACAGGCTAGAACCACTTGAGATTGCCAATGGGACGGTCTCAAGAACTTCGGTTCTGAAAGCTCAATTATAGCCTTGAAGTAAAGTTTTTAGATTCGGACTAATGAGAAACAAGTCAAATGGATTTTGGAAAGGAATTTCAATCGAAAAATCGAAAAAACGATTTAATAGAAACCAAGATCTCACAAAATAGAACAATAGAAAGGTGCACAAGAGGAAGCAGGTTTCTCAAATTTTTGGATCCAATATGCAATTCTTTCACAATTTCAAACCAATATCCACCATTTTGTTTCCTTGTATCAAAGATTGGTAGAAGAACTCATCAAAGTGAAGGATTTGAGTTCCAGGTTTCCATTTGGTACACTCATTTCTATAGTCTAGAGAGTTCACCGAGTAACTTTGGTGCAGCACCCCCATATGCAAAGTGGGTGTTGTCTTTGTAATACCATAACAACTTCATGACTCTTGCCTTTCTGCACCTCCTGTAAAGGTATGTTTTTTATCAATTCATATATACATTCATTCTGACTGGGGCCAGTGGTTAATTTGTCAGCTGGCATGTAAGACGTGGATCACCTCAAGGACTAATATGATGGGAGACACCAAAGATGAGGAAAAGCCCAAAGAATCTTGACATTCCACACAAGCCCATAGTCCTCAACTTATTGAGAAGCTGGGGGCACTTTTGAGATGATCTCATACAGAGCTTCTCAAAAGTAGCTTATTAGAGCAATTGCTTTTTTGAAATTTTCATTTGAAGAATTCATTTAATTCAGAGAGATGAGCTTGACATGTAAAATACCCCAGCTTAAATGGCTCTTGTAATGTTTGATGAAACACCCTAAAAAGCTACTTTTGAGAAGCTATGGATGAGGTGATCTTGCAAGTACCCTTGGCTTCTCACCAACTTGAGAACTGCGGGCTTGTGTAGAACTCCAAGATTTTTTGGGCTTCTCTTTATCTTTGGTGTCTTCCACCATACCTCTCCTCTCCAACCTTACACTGTCAATGTATGCAACTGTTAGCCTTTTTTTCATCATTTCAAAGCTCACTGGTTCCAAATTTTGTTTTGAAAACTGTAATGAAAAATAAACAGCCAGTGCATGAAATGATGCAGTACTGCACAGGAACTCAGGAAAAGTACCTGTTCAGGTTTCCGTGATGATGTGGGTTTCAAGTGGTCATCCTTTGGCATGGTTGTATTATGAATCATCTTGATAGGGACGGTATAAGAGAGTTCCTTGAAGTCCTTTTGATATCCCATTCTCAGTCTCAATTATATCACAATCATCACAATCCAGAAATCCAATACCATCTATAATCCTTCAAAATTGTCATTACAATGGCTTCATCAGCAGCATTGATTGCTATTGTTTGACCATTCTCTGGTTTCTATATGTTTTTGAACATAACCTCCAATCAACACCCCAGAAGCGTGAAGCTGACATTGATTTAAGTTTGATTAAATACCTCCCACCAAGAAGTTGATAACATTCCATCATCAACAGACATTTAATTCTCTATAAAGAACAAGGTCAACCTTCACCTAGAATGAAATCCTTACAGCAACTATTACAGCCTTGGTTTGGAAATCACATCAACTCATTGTGAAAATCAGTCATCTCTTCAAGCTATTCCCCACTCATTGATGTCCTCTGATTCGATCCTTACTATGGTTACCATTCACAATCCATCACTGATACATCATCTGATTGATTTCCAGCAGTAAACTTAACACTACTCGTTGAATCACGCCATTTGAATTCACTTATGTATCAGCCTTGAGAGTTTATCAGTGCAAAAGCTGATGGATCATGTTGAAACAATGATGGTCATTTTCAGCCTTGTAACAAAACAAGGCCATCAGATTACTATTCTCAAAGTTCTTTTGATTCAAGTCATCTGACTGAAAACAATTACCAATCAAACCATTCTAGTCAGTAAGTTGGAATTCGTGAAAAACTTTGAGTAAGTGTAGCTCATGATGAAGTCAGTGAAGATCAATGAAGAGCTCAGCTAAAAAATCCAACTCGTGATATTCCCAGTCTAAACACCAACCTGCAGCTGACTTTGATCAAAAGTGGCCAGAAGGGGTCTTCATAAGTTTGCATTGAGGAGCCACATTTTCTTGATGATAAGATGAGTCAATATGAAGATGTATGGATTATGTTGTAATGTAAGCAATGCTTTCAAATCCTCTCACTCAAGAAACAGACTTTTGGATCAAATTGTGCGATCTCAAAAAATCGACTTCTGAAGACTCATATTTTTTTTTGGCTGAGTTGGAATTAAAAGGATGTGAATGCAAATTCGACTACATATTCAAGATGAAAAAGTAGAACATATATCATGATTGGAAAGATGAAAATTTGAAACTATAAGTCAAAAGAAACCCCATTTTAACTGCCAGTCAAGAATAATACTTTTCAAGTGAATAGAAATGCTTCATTACTTTTTCTTCAGGAAAAAAACACGCTATGCCTACTTTTTTTGGTGTATCTTGCTAACTACAATCTTTACTTTTGCTAAAAATAATTTATTTACTGATAGTTGCCATTTAATAAATAATTCAAATAATTCATCATTCATGAGTTTGCTTGCAATTATTGTTTGTTTTCTTTCTTTGTAACAATAATTCTTTGTGGATGACTTATTTGTTGAAAAAGATAAAACCATTACCATATGCATAATGCGGGATACAATGATATTTTCTTCTTCAAGTGCTGGTCGTTGATCGTTACTACCGAGTGATCAAAAAAGAGAATGTTCACTCAATGGATTTGAAATACAAGACGGGTGAAAAGACTCGGTTTGATGAGAGTCTGAAGAGAATTGTGAGGTGATCTTGGATCAAGAGCTCCAACAATATCTTTCAAAGCATCTACTACAAAGACCTTCACGTGGAATGTTTTGACGTTCTCGAGATCTATCAACTACTGCGCAAGCTAGACATGCAGACCAAAGTGGATCTCGAAAGTTCTGGTTTTGCACATCTTCTTCTGTTGGAAATCCTCTATACGCAATCTCAGAAGCTGCACCAAGAAAAGCTTCGGCTTGAGTGTTTGAGTACTGAAAAGGCCATGGTATTAGTTCTAGTTCCGCAATTCTCGATAAATTGGTGAAGAAAATAATGAGCTTACCTTGATTTGGTCGATGGATGTGTTGGTGATGCCAAGTGATCCGTCCAAAGGAGCTGAATTAGCAATCCATACGATTAATGGAGAATCGGTCTCATCGCAACCGAAGAAAGTCGGATGAGATCTTAATTTTTCAAACTCTTCTTCTGAGCTTGGTACGTTAGGGAAGCTATAAGCACCCGATGCAAGTTGAGCTCTCGCAAATGTAGCTTGTAAAGATGCCCCAGTGGCATAATTGGGTCCTTCTGTTCCGTCCTAAGTCACAATTGAAAAATACTCACATCAAGGACTGGTTTTGGGAGCGAGTTGGAAATGAGTAAGAACAGTGTTTGATGGAATACTGACATTGACCAAACTGATTGAATCGATACCAATGATGATGTCTACCTTTCGGGCTGGAATCAGCAATGGTAGATAGGGAGTCACAGCTGTGATGAAGATGATGCGAAAATCAGACTACTGAGTTGATCGGTGGATAGAAAGACAGACTTACCGCCATCAAGACCTCCGTCAAGAAGCCGAAGCTCAGTTGAAGCTTTATCCAAGTAAGTATCGGATCCCAACTCCAAGAAAGGATTTGGGACTGAAGCTGTATCGATAGATATACCAGGTTGAGAACTTTCGAAAGTAGTATTGATAAGGCTTATAATTGTATGAATTGAACTTTGACCAAAGAAGAAAGCTTCAGATGTATTAAGGTTTGGAAAGATATCACTAGAAATGGCAGAAAGATAACTAGCTTGATCGAAACCTTGAGCACATTGTTGAGATTCTGACTTTCCACCTCTTAAACGTGTTCCTAAATATTCTGTTGGAATAAAGCTAGCCAAATTCTCATCCCAACTTCCTGATTCTATTGGTGTGAATTCATAAGCGGTATTGGTCAAGGGTATTAAAGCCTTTGGTTGTTTTTGTGTTTCATCTTGACCAGGTGAGATAGCTAAAGCTGTGATAATAGGGAAGGGTTGTTCAAAGCGCTGGAAGGTTGACCTGAAAAGGGAGAAAACGAATTGATAAGCAAGCCACCAAATAAGATTGCCGCTTACCATTTCAGCTCATTTTGGGGAAAGAGCAGGAAAGAGCTTACAGTTTTTGAATGCCAGAGAAAGTAACATCTATACCGTGTGGTAGAGAGTCATCAAAAAAGTTATTTTCAGTAGTTCCATTGGTAATATGATAACGAAGTACTAGAGACCAAAAGTCGGCCATGGTAACGTGAAATCCAGCTTTGAGCTTTTGACCCATTTTTGTTAACACATCGGTCACATATTGTTTATTCTTGTCGTCAATTTCCTTCCCGTCAGAAACTGTTTGATTATCAGCAGGCTGATGATTTAAAAGTGGAAATCAATTTTTCCATCAAAAGTAATTACGATCATTCAAAGTTGACTCACACTGAAAAGGTCATATTGGAGTAATAAACTACCAAACTGACTATTTTTGTCTTTTTTCTGATGAGCATGTTTTGAGAGTGCTAAATCATACAAAGTTGGAAAATTGGCCTGGGCGAGAGCAGTGACTACCCAAGAACCACCACTAAGACCAACCAGATAATCACTAGCTTGCAAAAGTCCACCCGTACCAACATGAATTGAAGTTTTATTTCTTCCATCAAATGCATTTAGAACACCACTCGAATACAAAGATGCGCGATATCCTCCACCAGAAGCGGCCAAGGCGGTACGAGGTAAGATGTCAAGATCATTTGATGTGAGAATGCTTTCGATGTAATCGGGTAATGTAGTGTCGCTGTCACTGTCGATCAAATGTGATATAGTAGTGTATAAACCGCCTAGGGCATCAGCAATCGAATCTGATGCTGGGTTTTTCTTCTTTTGGGCATGTGTAGCTTTTTTCAAGGAGTGCTTGACGTTACGAAAATAAGTGTTATATGCTGGACCCACTACTTCTTGACGTCGACTTTGGATGTAATTCAGTTCAGAAGGGTTTAATGTTTGAGATTCTTTAGTACCTGCATTTCGAAGTGAAAAGTCATGAGGACACTGAATAAGATGTATTGAAGAAGGTTGATTGAGAGTAGGAAGTGCTGATGTATAGAAAAAGGAAATCAAGAGTAAATGAGTGATTGAGATTAGGATGGAATGATTGAGAATTTTAAACATGGTTCGGTAAGAGATAAAGTGGTAAAGAGGGATCAGGAATCAATCACGAGGAATCTAATGCATGTAAGTAAGAAATCAAAGTTAAAGTGTACACTACTAATCAATCTTGGTCATCCACTCATCATGATATCATATCAGACTGAAGAAAGATCTCAAGAGAAAGGATGTATCATGTAAGTTCTGCGCAGTTGAAAAAAACAATTGAAGATGATATTCTGATGAAGAGAGAAGCGAGTCAAAGCCAGAGAGTGAATAGAAAATGGTAAGCCAGACTGGTTAAATCAGCATCAAAGCCACATCAGATTTCAAGTATACAGCATGGCATTGGCTACAATTCTTATTAATCAATCAATCCACAGGGTGATTGAAATCCAGATCTTTGCCTTCACTGAACTCTAATTCGAACTCTGTACAGCACTCAAGGAATCGAACATCTTCCCGAGGAGAAGATTCTTGTGTGCACGATCGGTGTTAAAACCCCACCATGACCTCAAGAGACATCCCCCACCTATTTACTAAGCTCAAGTAGCAAGGCGGGCCGATGGTCAACGAAGCCACTGTGATCAATATCATGATAAAGAGCCTCATAAGCCAACATCCACCGTGGGGTTTGAAGGACTGGTGTATGTATTCTGCTTATTTGATACGCTCGAGGCCTCCCGAGGAGCGAGGCACTCTTGAAATCAGAAGTTCGTTCAAGACCAGGATCAACTCGGATCGGAGCAGATATTAAAATCTTGATTTGGGGGTAGTCCAGGGTAGTTCTCCAGGGAGCTGGCGAGACCCATCGCTTGGTGAGGCATGATTTCCGTCCGAACAGCAATTGACCCTGATTGACCCACCCTGATTGTGATGAATACTTAGTAAGCTTGTGATTTGACATGTGATGTGGTTATTTCGGAAGTTTTCGGTGACGTTGGAACGCGTTTTGACAAACGGGAATAGTACCAAGCAGAGGTAAGGTTTAGTTAAACGTCTGAAAGGAAGAGGTAAAAGACGTACTACAAGGAGATCCAGTCCAATGAGAAGTGAAGCACAGCAACAGCGAAGCGTGGATTTCCCAGTATCCAAAAAGTTGTAATGTTTAAAGTCCTTTTGTCATCTATCGAATTTCATTGTATTTTGTTAGTTCATCCAAAATCTTTATCAACGAAACAAGCTAGCGATATTTTTTTGTTATCTGTTCTTGGAAAGAAATCTCTCGTTGTATCATGCAGCATGTGGCTAGAACAATCAACGATAACAATCCCGAGTTCTATGCTATCGATGAGATTTTTGTCAATTATGACAAATCGGGAGGGAGGAACAAGCACGATATGCACCGGCTCCACGACCAAGTTGCTTCCGACTTCTCTCCTTTCAACCCAAGTTCCATTCACCACTTCTCAGCAGTGGCCCGAACGGCTGTCAAATCCAATGTTGCAAAGACGTCTTGCCTCTTTTATTCCAGGCCAGAAGCCGTTGTATCGCCTCCTGGACAGATCCTTAACACTACAGCGAGCCAGTGGTTCTGGGCCCCACCTGGTGGCCTTCAGAGCTGGAGAAGAACCTTTATTATCCACCTTCAAACTTTTTCTTTTGGCCTCCTATGTCCGAGCCTGAAGAAAGAGAACCTCCCGTGGCCTCCGGTTGCGGCCCACAAGCTGTGGTCAATACGGCGGAAGCCTCTTCCCGTCGTTCAGTTGCCCCTCTAAGACCACCTTTATTGGAGCAAATCCTTCCAAGAGGGAAAAGCATTTCTAAGAATGCTTCAGTACGCTCTCTTTCATCTTCCTCTGTATGACGGTGTCCTTATTTAATACCGGTTGCGACAAAGCTTTCAGCTTCCCTTTCTCTTTGTCAAAAGGTTTACTGGAGTATAAGTTTATTGAAATCAAAAAAATGTTTGGCAAGATGTGTTCAAAACCTTCTTCTGAAACATTCATGTTTAGCAATCACCTAAAATCCTGGACTTCTTGAAGTCAAAAACATGTCCTTTATTGACAAATCATCAATGTTCTCAGAGATGCATACAACCAGTATCTTCACCAGCAACAGATTCTATCAATGAGTATTTTGATTACATCAGCAAGTTTTATGTAAATGGCAAGAAGAGTGTGATTGGCTTCATGTCATGGAAGTTGACTGTGTTCTTTGTCAAACATTTTCAGACAACACTTGGATTATCTCTGGTAATTATCCCTCCCTGGCACTCAAACATTTGGAAGCCAGATCTCTTGACAAGCAGCCCACTCCCATTGATTATTCCCCTTGTCCTTCTTTTTCCAAAAATTGACACCAACCATCATCTTCCTTGCAACCTCACTCTCAACCTAAGTCTCAAGCAAAGACAAATTCAAAACCTTCAAAGAAAACAAAAAGGACTTCTCCCTCATATTCTGTTAAAGACTGTTCAGGCAAGCCTTTGTCTTGCCAGCCTTGCAATAATTGGAACAGTGGGGTCTGTCTTAAATTGGCCAGCAACTGCCAGCAAGTGCATAACATCTGCAACAAGTTGGGTCACAATTCTAATCACCAAGGAGGCCTTGTCCACGGACCTTCTTGATGCTCAGAAATTTTAAGGAACCTGGAGATTGCCACCCCCTCAGAAGGTTACTCAGAAACAGTTGGATTTTTTCTCTCAGCTGACCCCCTCCCTTCCGCTCTACCTCTTGAATTGGATATATTCACAGTGTGAGCAATTAAGAGATGCCCAGATATATTTCAGATTTGTAGGCCAATTCATATCCAGCACCTCAAATTCCTCTTCTGTAACCATCCCAATTTGTTATGATCAGGACGGGGATCTGGGGACGGAGTGTGAAGACGTGGTATCCTGGTTCCTCTATGTAGATTGTCAGATGAGGAGAAAGAGGAAAGTACAAGCATTGTGATCTAGATACTAATACGTGTCCTCTGTGACATCTCTTCCTAAGTGTGTCACGCCTGGTTACATGTGTAGTTGTAACACTATCCCCCTTTTAATGCCCAGTCTCCCGCTTGCAAGACCTGCATTCTGTCCCTGGGCAGCGTTAAAAAACCCCGTGGGGAAAAAGCTTGCCCACTCACTTCTTTCTCCTATGCCGTTTGTACTTGTTTGCCGCATCCGGGTATTGTTCTTTGAATTTCGTGATAAGTTCTTTACAATTCTTGAGGTTTTCTAATGGTTCCCATGAATTATGTTCTGAGCTGAATCCTTTCCATTGTACCAAAAACTCTTGCTTCTTGTATCTTATGCGACTATCTAATATTTCAAACACCTCCCATTCACTCTCTCCCTCGACTTCTACTGGTGGTGGCGGCGGTTCACTACGTCCTGCGATAGTGTCTGGTTCATGCTTTCGTAGTAAAGATACATGGAATACGGGATGTATCCCCTTCATCGACGCAGGTAGAGTCAGTTTATACGCTGATTGAGAAACTTTTTTGATGATACTAAAAGGACCTAGCCATTTGTGGTCCAGTTTTGGGCTCGGCCTGGTTGTTGATATGTTGGTGCTCTTCAACCACACAAAATCCCCCACTTGCCAGTTTGGGGTTTGTCGAATACCTCGGTCAAATTGTTCTTTCATTGACTCCTGACTCAAACGTAAACATTCTGTTAGCTCTGATTGTACCTCCGCTAACATCTTCAACCGTTCTTCTACTACCGGAACACATTGTTCGTGCGATGGTACTCCTCCATATACCGGATTGTACCCGTAATTTGCTCGAAAAGGAGACATGCCGGTCGCAGAGTGGTTGTTGTTGTTGTACGAAAATTCCGCCGTTGGGAGTAGTTGCTCCCAATTGTCTTGCCTATAGCTGACAAAGTGTCGTAAGTATTGCTCGACACATTTGTTGACTATCTCACTCTGTCCATCTGATCTGGGGTGGTAAGCGGTGGATGGATGTAGTCTGATGCCCAACCGTCTATCTAGCTCCTGTGTGACCTGTGATATAAAAACACTACCCCGGTCTGACACTATTGTGCGCGGTGTGCCATGCAACTTCCAAACGTGGTTAACCATTAAGTCAGCAAGTTCGGTCGCATTCATACTTTCATTACAAGAGATGAAATGGGCCATCTTAGTGAGCCTGTCGACCACAGTCAATATACTGTCCTTGCCATTTGATGGCGGAAGACCCGTGATCATATCGTAGCTGATATCCGTCCACGGTCCAGCTGGTATGGGGAGTGGCTCCAAAGATCCAAATGGCTTCTGGGTGGTTGGTTTGACCCGAAGGCAGGAGTCGCAGCTGTCGACATACCGGTGAACGTATGCACGCATTGATGGCCATGTGAAGCATCGCTTGACTAGATTCATTGTCTTAGCTCGACCCGGATGGCCTGCTAGCAGGCTGTCGTGGCGGCTTTTGAGGATCTGTCGTTTGATTTCGGCGTCGTCCGGGACCTCGATACGTCCTTTGTTATATACCACACCATCCCTTACCTGATAATTGGCTACAGCTGATTTAAGCTTTGTTGATATGGGGTTCTCGATGGCTTGAACTAGTTCGGCGAGGCGTGGGCAAGTCGACGTCTTCTCTCGTATGTTTCTGATGATGGTCTCGTCCGGTTGGACGTCATCGCACGTTGGCAGTTCTTCGATTCTGGTATCCGATATACCTAAAACGTCGACCTCAAACCAATGTTCAGCGTCGTGGAGTTTGATTGAATCATCCATAAAGAAACAGTCTACGCTTGCGACGTCGGTGTGGAAAGAGTCATCTGTCAGATTCTCAGGCCTGATCAGTTGTCCAAATGTTAAATTATCAGCTTCGTCAGGTTTTAAATCCGGTCTTCTCGACAATGCATCTGGCTTCGTGGCTTGATGTCCTGGCCTGAATTTAATTTTAAAGTCAAAGCATCCGAGTATCTCCGCCCATCGTGCTTGCCGGCGTGTGAGTTGTTTCGTTGTCATGAAACTCTCCAGGTTCCTATGGTCAGTATACACAATGACTTCGAGCCTGTTGGGGTTACCTTCCAAATAGTGACGCCACTCCTTGAAGGACGCGACAATGGCGAGGAGTTCCTTGTC